CCGGTGCGCGGGGAGGTCTGGCCGCCGCCGCCGCGGTGCCAGCCCCGGGGAGCGCGGAGGGGACGGCGCAGCCCCGCCAGCACCGAAACCAGCCGGTAACTCCTCCGCCTTTGCCGAGAGCCGGTTTCTGCCTTGGTTTCGTTCTGGCCATGCAGTGCACACCTGGGCTGGGAGTGCGAGGGCTGTGGGAGGAGAGTGCGGGGCCGGGTCCTCTACGGGCGCGCTAGATGGGAAAATATACTTTTTTTTTTTTTTTTGTTCTTTCCCCTCTGGTGGGAGAAAATACTACACCCGCCGGAGGCTGGTTGTTGATTATTATTTCTCGCGGCTCCGCTGCGGCGTTGTGTACCGGCTCTCTCACCCCAGGACTGCTGTTGTCTTCACAGAGGCCCCCGGGAAGTCACCCAGCGCCCTGGGAGGCAGAGCACGGCCGGGCGTTTCGGGCCCCGGATTGACAGCGGATCACGGGAAGAAACGGGATTATTATGACCCTCTTCCGAGGAGCTATGCTGCCCGCCATGAGTAGGAAAAAAGGCCAGAAATACCTCATTTGGTTGCCGTGTGGTGCCGCAAGCTTCTAGCTTTTTTATTTTATTTTTCCTGCAGTTGCTTGGAGTCTCTGAGCTGCATTGGATAAATGCCTTTCCCATCCGATTGACTCTGCTTTTCAGAGATTTTTTTTTCTTTCTTTTTTTTTTTTTTTTTTAAGAACACCTCTCTGGTCTTCAATACTTGTTTGCGTTTTACACAACCGAACGGTTTTTCAGAGTAATGGCCGCGCTCCGAATCACTGCCTGATGCTCCGGAGAGATGAATTGCAGCTGAAAGTTTCCCTTCCACCTTTGGATGAATCTCTGGAGTTTAAATTGTAGGAAGGAAGGGGGAAAAAACCACGATGAAAGAGAAGTCCAAAAATGCTGCCCGGACTAGGCGGGAGAAAGAAAACAGTGAATTTTATGAACTGGCGAAATTACTACCCCTGCCCTCCGCTATCACCTCTCAGCTGGACAAAGCATCCATAATCAGACTCACCACCAGCTATTTAAAAATGAGGGTGGTTTTTCCAGAAGGTAGGTGGGAATGCCTATTCACCTCTATGTCCATTCCGATCCAGGTGTCGCTTGTCGCTTTTACTTAAAAAAAAAAAAAAAAAAAAAAAAAAAAAAAAAAAAAGTAAATCGCATGGGGTGGTGTGCTCGGAGGCCGGGTGCTCTCCGCTGTCACTTTCCTCTGTCGTAAATACTTTCCCTTCAGTTTCTATGACAGGTTTGGTTGGGGACTTTACGGTGCTTTTGTCAACACTTGAAGGCACTGAGCTCTGCTGCGTGTTCTGCTAAAGCAAACACGGGTTTTCTTTTCCCCCAGTCTCCCAGTAAGATGTGCATCCCCCGCCAAGCACGTGCGTGGCGAAAGAGGGGACGATTCACCCCTATTTATAGCCATACTATGGGGGGAGTTAATATATGGGTAAATATTTACATAAGTCTATGCAAAGTCCTAAAGCCTTAGTTCAAGTATCGAGCAAAGGTGCGGTTTACAGGTACAGCACAGGCGTACAGGCGTGCTCACACACACACGCACAGCCTAAATAAATAAGCCAAGCACACCGAATCGCATCAGGAATGCGATGTGTCTCGCTCTGAGGATCATTAGGGCAGTTTGAAGGCGTTAATCGACCTAGGAAATTTTTAACGGGAGTTTTGTACTCTGACATACTCAATCCCCCTGCCCACCCAGCGCTGCTGCAAGCCCAGCGTCCGAGCCTGGGCCTGATTCTCCTCCAGGGTCAGGCAACAGTAAACTTCACGTTGACTTCCACGGCAGCAGCAACAGTCCTGCCTGTCTAGCAAAAGCAGACTTAAGCGTCCTAAAGTATGTCTTGCTTTTGTGTAGAATTAGGATTTAAAGCGACCGTCCTGGGGCTTCTAGATCGGCTGCCAAGGAAAACAAAGAGCACAGAAAGTTAAGAGGGTCGGAATAAAGTTCTCCTGTGTTCTTACTCTATTGCTTTTATAAGAAGCAGGAAACAAAATCAAAAATACTTCAGTAATCTTGTGTTTGGATCAATCGAGATATCGTCTGCATGAAAGAAAAAGTATTGAGAGCTCTTTCCGACCTGTTAACAAAATTTGCTACATCTTTCTCTGAAAAGAGTGTGTTCATAAGAAATGGTACAATATAGGCATGTCCCTGTGTTTTCTGTCTCTATACCTCGAGTCGGTCGGTCGGTCTGGCTGTCTATTACGTTTTACAAATCAAGAGTGTGTATGCGGCCGGTTTGTTTGTTTTGCCTTTTTTTTTTTTTTTTAACCTGATTAAGTCTGTGAACTACTGGTCCTAATTCTACTTTTTGAAAGTAAACATGCACTCGGGCAGTCGTTTGGACTGGAGGAGGTACCCCCACACACCCCGGTTACGTATGAACGCTTATACCTAGAGTCCACAGCAGTAATTTCCAATCCAGTGCATCTTGCAACAGTTTCTCTAAATAACTTTCCATATCTCCGGGTCACTTAGAACCAAAGAAGGGGATAAATGAAACCTTTCAAAAAATAATAATAATTAAAGCCTTCATCAAGCCACTTCCCTCTTCTATGTGATCTGCCACCCTGACGATCATTATGCGGGACAGTCCTCTGTTTCAAAGGAGAGCGAGCTGTCCTTTATACTGTCAGCGCATACTTTATGAAAATGAAGCTATAGCAAACGCCGGTGCCCATGATGTTCCTAAAAGGATTATTAGCAATGATTTGTCAACCCCTGCGGTCTCAGTAGGCTACCTTTCTGCGTGATTTCGAGCAGGTCTCGTCAATTACTGGTGCCTATGTAGCGGGTTGTTTGATCAGAAGAAGCATATGGTGTTGCTTGTAGGCTGTGAGTAATCACGGGAAGAGAAGAATAGCTGATCCCCGTCCCTCGGTGGCAGCGCAGGATGTTTGAATGCCCTGGGGAACCGTGCGGCGAAGTGCGCCGGGGCCGGGGCCGCTGCCGGCCGCAGCAGATGCTAATTTGAGCGCGGAGGCAGAGGGGGCGGCTGAGCGGGGGCTTCGCAGGCAGCACAGCCTCCGCGGCCTAATTAAAGGCAAACTGCGAATTAGAAAGGAAGGCAGCGAGCAGGCACGAAAGGGCTGGCCCCTCCGAGGCGCGCTGCCGCGGCAGGCCCGCGGCACCCACGCGGGACCGCCGCGCTGCCCACCCCCTCCCGCCCCCGAATCCGCGCATCCCCGCGCAGGGCCGCGGGACGGGACGGGACGGGACGGACACACACGCACTGCGGGCTGGGCGCGAAGGCCGGAGAGCGGGGGCCGCGGCGTGGCGCCGGCCCCACGCGTGCTCCCTCTCCCTCCCACGCACTTCCGAGGAGGGGGGAGCGGGGAGCGCACCCCGGCCCCGCGGTGGAACGGCCGCTTTCCCTGCGCTGGCCGGTGCCGCGATTAATCAACCACGAGCGAGGGGGGAGGCGAGGAAGAGGGGGACGGCCCTGGTCTCCCGGTGCCCCCGGCCAGAGAAAGAAGTCATCGCTCCGCTGGGAAGGGAGGACAGGTAGTGGCAGCCAGGGAAACGACGCACCCGAAGGAAAAGCCTTTCCGAAAGGAGGAGGCAGGGTAGGGATGCTGGATGGATTGGATGGGGGGTCCGTCTGCTCGTTTTTCCCTGGGGAGGAAAGCGGCACAAGCCTCGGGACAGACCCGATGAGTCGGCCGGAGGGCTGGAGGTGGGCAGCAGGAGGCTGGGGACCACGGCACAGTGTCACGTCGTACATTTAAAGAGATCTTGGAGGAGTCAGCACAGAGAAGCGTTGTCTCTGTAAGAGCGAGCTGCCCTTCCAGTGTAACTCACACCCCCTCTCCCCGGTACAAGAGCGAATTTCCATCTGCCCGGAGAGTGCTTCCATAGGGGCTGGTTGTAAATAGTCACGTACAGAAAGATATACACTCCTCATCGCCGCGCACACGCGGGGCTGGGGACTGGGGCACAGGCGGAAAGAACCGGTATGCATTTCTCTGCATATTTTTACGTCTGCAGGGTTCCTGTAGCGAGAGAAGGTGGGTAGATTTCGGGTTCATTTTGGAAACAAGAGAGTTTCCTGGGAGTAAAATGCCAGGAGAGTCACACGCAGAATAATCACGGTACCGTTCCGGTCTCACTCCCGGAAATCTAAACGCAAATCGGTGACACCGAATAAACTTCATAAACCGAGCAGAGATTTTCCAGCGAGCTCCCTCTCATAATGGCTCTGTAATTCTCACAAGCTATTAAAACGCCTAGGTTTTCTCTCTACCCCTGATTTCACTTTACTAGGTCTCCAGCAGATTAAAACTGTCAAGGGCGAAAAGTGTTCAGCGGCTTAGGTAGCTTGCACCGTTTCAGGGCTAAAACCCTTCCGTCTCAGGAGGAGAAAGACTATAAGACATATAGTAGTTTTCGGTGATCAGACAGCTTTTGGAAAGGCTGAAGATCTGCTAAATAACTAAGGACAGTAAGGAGGATTTTGGGTTTTTTTTAAGCAGAACTTCCTAATAAAATCACTCGTGAGTTAACATTCACCTATTAAAAAAAATCCTAAAATTGCAATTTAACATTAAACAGTTAATAGCAAGCAACGTAGCCTCAAAAAATATCTGGAAGAATCTCTGGGATGTCGAAGGACTAAGAGTTTTCCTTCAAAAAAGATCCGGTCGGAATGACTAGAGGGGTAAGCCTTCACTGACCCTCGCCAGTACCCAAAAGTGAAGGGAGAAAACAAACAAACAAACAAACAAACAAACAAAAAAACCCGAGTGGCGCAATAAATAGATTTTTGTTTGTTTGTTTGTTTGGGGTTTTTTTGTTTTGCTTTTTTAGTTAGGAATATCTTAAAGGTCCTATTCTCCTTCCGCGAACAGAGAGGGAAAAGGAGGGTTTGCAGTCTCTGTCCTAGCAGGGATGGATCGTTTCGGCGCGGAGAGGCGTTCGCTTTTCGAGACAAAAGCAGAGGCTCCGTTTACGTAAACTTCGCCGAATCAGGATGGTTAACATTTCAATATTGAAACCCTTAACCTTGTTTTATTTTAAAGGGGGAAGAGATCAGCAGGAAAAAAAAAAATCCCTTTCCCACGTGGATAGGTGATTTAATGCTGTTTTTCTTACTGCTAAGGGAAATGATTGAGCATTAGGTTTCAGTGTTTATTTTCTTACAGAAGTTTTTCTCATTTAAGCTGCAGTTTACTCTCCACGCTGCCTCTCTGTTTAATTCCAGTTTTGATGTGAACTTAAAATGTGAAGTGCAGAACTAAACTACTAGCATGATCGTTGAAAAAGCAGATTTATGTGTTAGAAAGAATGCTAAGTGAGATGAGTGGAAAAAATCATACTTCCTTCAGAAACATCCTCTCCCTTCTCAGCAACATACGACCGTTTTAATGTTGGAGGATATTTTTCAACTTGCATATAAATAGCGTGTATTCGCAAGTGCATTGGTGCAAACTCTTCCTTCCCCAATTTCTTCGGAATAAGAGCTATTTGAATTTGCGTCTTCTGTAGAAGCGAATAAGTGGTTGGCGCTCGAAAATTTCCCTGATTATTCCCCCCCCCCCCCCCCATTTGGGCATGGTTCCGTTTGTTTGCATTTCAGAGCGCAATTCCGTTACCCCGTGTGTGCCAAAATGCTATTTCTTTCTAGAGTGAATCAGTCTCAGCATTATTTCCACTACCGTTTGCTTAACAGGGTTGTTTGTTTAGTCAACAGGACTTTTCCTCCCTCTTATTATTATTTTTATAAAGAAAGCGGGATGCTAACTTATCTCTGCTTCAAATGAACACATGTGATTTACCGAGATAATAAATCTTTACAAAACCTTGCTAATGGCCTCCGCAGGCAGTTGGAAATGAGCAGCATTTTTTTTTTTTTAAACTTAGCTTATTCCATTTCATCTGAACCCTCCGACGGCGACCCACTCCTTCACAGAAGCCTCATTTGGCCGAGATTTTGAGTTATCATTAACCACTGCCTGTTAAATTAACTGAGAAATCGGCCCTGTCGGGCGTTAGGCGATGGCAAAACGGAGCGCTGGAGGTGGACTATTTAATT